AATTTTATAGAGATTTTTAGAGATTCATTTTAGAGATTCAAATCTTTTTCCAAAGCATCTTTTTCCTTTTTTCCTTTTCAGAAAAAAGATTTCCCTCTTTAGAAACGTTTTTAAAAGATGCCAACTTTAAAAAAACTACTGTAATCTTGTCTCTAGTTTTTATCTATTTACTATTATACTATTACTATTTTATCTACTTACTTTTATCTATTTAATGTCTCTATGAAATTTGATGCCTTTTTTTCTTCTCATTCTTGCTGAAAAAGTTCCTCGCTAATCTACCAATAAGCAAAAAGATTTCAAGAAGATCTACCGATAGAGAACAAGGTTAAATAAAAATAAAGACAAGATTACGGTGGCTTTCGAAAGTGCAGAAGTTTTAGGAAATCTTAGAAATCTGATAAAAGAGACAAAGCGCGGTGAAATGAGGCGAAAAGTTTCGCCCAGTTGTCAAGGATTCATTTCGAAACAAAAACGATATCATCGACTTAAACTTTTCAAACTTAGTCAAAAACAAAAAAAAAGATGAAAAGTTTCAAGTTTTTTTGTAACTCTTTCTTTTTTCCCTCAAAATCCGACTTTTTGTCTCAATTTCTATGTCGTACAGGTGAAATTTGATGCCTTTTTTCTTCTCATTCTTGCTGAAAAAGTTCCTCGCTAATTTTCCGGTGCATTTTTTTGGATTTTATGCTTGCAGAAAGCCAGTTTTTCTTATGCAATCAAGAATTTAAATTTTGTTTCTAAACGAGTGAATTAGCGGAGGTTTGATTTAGATTGGATTTAGATTTGGTTTAGATTTGATTTATTAGGTTGATGCATAAGTGTTTTTTGTTCCTTTTCGTCTGCCGTTTCAAGCCAACAAATGCACGAATTAAACTACGGTTGATTTCATTAGAAAAAGCAATTATTTTTTCTGCAAAATAATATTAAAACGATTTGATGAAATTTGATTTGATGAAATTTGATGAAAAAAAGATGTAAAATGTGAAAATGAAGACCTTGTGACAATGAATTTCATCTAAATTGTAACTAAATTGTTTTTACATTGCTTTTACATTGCTTTTACATTGTTTTTAGAAAGAAAAATTGAAATCCTATATCAACAAATAGTACAGAGTGGCGCACAATTATGAAAACTCGATTTTTCGCCTGTAACTTAAAGCCCAATTATTCAAGCTCTCTAATTTCATATTTATATAAAATTTCAAGTTCATTTCCTTTTTGCAATTTGCAATTTTTAGTTTATAAACAGAATGTTACGCTTTTTATATTATTAGGTTGATGCATAAGTGTTTTTGTTCCTTTTCGTCTGCCGTTTCAAGCCAACAAATGCACGAATTAAACTACGGTTGATTTCATTAGAAAAAGCAATTATTTTTCTGCAAAATAACATTAAAACGGGTTTAAAAATATTTAATGCCTGGATTTTCTTGAGAGTATGAAGTCGGGTAGTCAAAAAGGGCTAACTCGATGATGCGGTTTAGACACCTTAGCTAAAGAAAACCTATCTTCGTGTCAATAGATAAAAGATAGAGAAAAAAAACGTTTGATATTTCGCCAAAATTTCAGAGAAATTCATTCAGCCAATTTTTCCGTAGAGTTTTTTATAGATTTTTACGAAAAAGGCGTTTTTCACTCTCGAATTTGCTTCAAAGTGAACCGAAATTCATTTAAAAGATGCTAATTGAACAAAAAAACACTTTTTTTATAGAGCAAACTATAGATTAATTCGTGAATTTGTTACTTTTTAACAGAAGTACGAAAAAAACGAAAAGACTTATGCATCAACCTATTAGATTTGGTTTAGATTTGATTTAGATTTGATTTAGAATCATTAAACGATTTCATTCTCGTGCTTTCACCTTTCCGAGCAGAAAGTTTGATGGAATTGAAAGATTTGTAAAAGGATTTATACTTGTTATTAATGTGCTAGCTAATGAACTTGTGCTAAGTAAATCTTACTAGGGAAAGGAAAAATCTCATTGTGGGATTTCGAAACAAGTTTTTAGCTTATTCAAAAGAAAATCGAACGGAGATTCCGAATCTGTACTCAAAAATTGCGGAATAGCTCGCAAATACTATAAGAATTTGTGAAAATCGATAAAAAGTTTTAAAGATAAAGGACGGTAGGGGGATTCGAACCCCACCACAAAAGAACTGGTTAGCTTTGCAGCCCATCACACTATCCGCTGCACCACGACCGCCACGAAACTGTGGACAAAAACTTGACTGAAGGAACCTCCTTCAGGAAAAGCTCGAAAAGTTTTACTTGTTTCAAATCGACTTCCTTCAGTTTCAAATCGAACAACTTACAAGTAGCCTAAATTCTACATTTACTGATAGGCAAAACCATTGAAAACCTTTGAGAGCCTTTGAATCTGCCATAAATTCATTTGTAAACATTTCCATTTCCATTTGCTTATCAAAAACCTTTCCATTTTTCCATTCTAGTGTTCTCTTTTCGTTATTTTTTAAAAACAAATCTTAGAACAACCGATTGAATGTTTCTTTTCTTAAAAAGCTGCATTCTCAGCTCTTTTTTTCTTTCCCTTTCTTCTCACAAATTCGGCTCAAATGAGCAACAAATTGAATTTTCCTTCCTTGTGAAGAGCGAAAAAAAAAACCCGGCACTTGAAATGATCAAAGAATTCATTCAGATTCCAAATTCAGATCCAAATCTCTCTTGTTCTTGTTTGTTGTCTTGTTTGTTTCCAAATTGCAGTCTTGTTCTTGTTGTGAATTCATTCAGATTCCAAATTCAGATCCAAACTGCAGTCTTGTTCTTGTTGTTGTTCTGTTCAGACTTGTTCTTGATGTACTTTGTGATCAAATTTTTAAAAACACCCTTTCTAGTCACTGAATTCTTCAGTTTTCTCGAGAAATCACTCAGCAAAATGCAAAAGAAAAGGCAGAAAGTGAGTGCGCTAGAAAGAATGCGTTTGTAAAGTTGAGCAAAAAGTACACAAAGAGTTCAAACAAGATAATTAGTTCTCTAGTTCTCTAGTAGATATAACTTGTTATGTACTTCTTTTCAGGGCTTCTTTTTAGCTTCTTTCTATCTGTTGTAAAGCTCAAAGAACTTTACAACAGACATTTCCTTTGTTGATTTATTTCAGGGTTTTCTCTGGGACTTGTTTCCGGTTGTTTTCTGTTTGACCGACTCAAAATAGTAATAAAAGTTTCTCTGTTGAAGAAAGGTTGATCGGATCTGTTCGATTGACGCAATTAATCACTCAAGGGCACGAGTTGAGTGAGAAATTGAGGATGGCTTTGTGGGGTTCTTAAAGCTGAATGGGCCAACATTTGTCGTTAAGGGGGAAATGGAAAAAGAGGTGAAAGGGAAAGAGGTGATAGGGAAAGAGGGGAAAGAACTCAGCTCTACCTGTTTATTATTGGATTTTTTATTTCAAAATTAGATTTACTTTACAATTGTCGATCTTCAGCAGCTGTACTGGTCAGTCGAACTCAAATCGTTTTCAGAATCTCGATCAAAATCAACACTGACCCTGGCTTTGACCCTTGACCTTGGCCTTGTCCTGGACCTGAACTGGTTCTGTTTTGACCTGGTTCTGTTTTGACTGGTTCTGTTTTGACCAACCTGGTTCTTTTTTGACTCTAATCTAGTATTCACTAGCTAAAACTTGGCTTATCGTAGAGTTTATCACAATTTCTTTTCTTTGTTTTCAAACTTTCATAATTTGATAGAATACTAATGTTAATCAGAGATTTCGAAGCCAATAACCAAAGTTGACCTTCAAAACCAATAAACAAAGCTTGTTTTCAGTAAAATTTCTAAGTAAAACTGTGTTTTGTTCGTTAAATGAAAGTCCACAAACGAGGGTGCCAACTTGTGTTCATTCGGTTCGCTTTTCAAAAGGCTTTGATGTGATCGAGTGATCAAAAAAACTCAGTGATCGGCTCGCAGATCGATCTCATGAGAAGAGAGAAGAGAAAAGAGTAGACGAGGGGAGATCGCCTCAAAATGACACCTCCGGGTACGAGAGGCTCTTGAGGCTCTTTCAATTTCTTTTAATTTGTAGATAGCTGGCTGGCTGGCTTAGCTGGCTTAGCTGGCTTAGCTGGCTTAGCTGGCTTAGCTGGCTGGCTGGCTGGCTTAGCTGGCTGGCTGGCTTAGCTGGCTGGCTGGCTTAGCTGGCTGGCTGGCTTAGCTGGCTGGCTGGCTTAGCTGGCTGGCTGGCTTAGCTGGCTGGCTGGCTTAGCTGGCTGGCTGGCTGGCTGGCTTTTACACTGGCTAAGTACACTTCTGAACACAAAACAATCTGAGTCAAATTTAGCACTTTTTTGAGGCTGATTGCGCTGATTGAGCTGAAAATTTGCAACCAGGAGTTTTCGAGAGCGAGGAATTCGAATTCGTTATTAGTTACTAGAAAAGTTGCTCTATTTTTCAATATTTATATATCTATTGGCTCTCAATCGTTTTAACTCAAATACCAGAAAAACCACCTACCAGATGTTTTGACATGTTTTTCTAGCACCTGGCTTTTTCTCGCCGTGGCGCAGTCGGGTGCACGCTTGTCTACACCCCCACACCACCCGGGTTCGACCCCTCGTAGTGACATTGAATTTTTAATTTTTAATTTTTGATCTTAAATGACATAACTACAAGATATTCTAAGGTTTTCTAAAGAGATTTTAGCTTTATTGGTCAAAACAGGGATGAGAAAAAGCCATATAGACAGACACGACTCTTTTTATAGTAGTTTTCTTGATTTTTCGATTTTCTAAACAAAAAAAACTCTAGTTTGATTGATTTGAACGATTTGATTCAATCTCTGATTTCCTTTTAGATTTCTCAATGTTTTATTTCCAATCCCCAGCTGTTCTCACTGCTTTTTCACATTCTTTTTTTGTCGAAAGAAATTTCTCAGAGAAAATGTCGTAAACTATTGCTCGAATTCAATTATTTTATTGCTTTTTGATAAAATTATATTTTTTATTTGATTTTTATTTGTTTTTTATTTCAATTTTGAATTCAGTAAATGGATTCGTCTACAACAATTTCAAATATAACCGAAGAGGATGATGAGGGTTTTTACACTCTTTCCACTTATGAATTGGTTAGTGGAGAAGTTATAGAACTAGTTATAGAACTAGTTATAGAACTAGTTATAGAACTAGTTATAGAACTAGTTATGGAACTAGTTATAGGAACTAGTTATGGAACTAGTTATAGAACTATAAAATATTGGATTGGTGAATTGAAAACTGCGGGCTATTGTCATATGTGACAGTTTGAGAACTTTCTTCAAAAGAAACCCATTTTGGTCTCAATGGAAAAGTTATAGAGAATCAAAAATCAAGCTTAAATCCAAATTTTCAGAACGATTCAAAAACTGGTTTTCAAGAAATGCCAAATTTATAAGAATTTTCACAAAACTTGCATTTTAAGCGAAACTACTAAGTGTATCTTTTTGGAAATTTGGCTATAAGCCTAATTTTTGATTCTCTACAACTTTTCTATTGACACCAAAATGGGTTCTCTTTTGAAGAAAGTGCTCAAATGCTCAAACTGGGACATCTCCAGTCCTCCATTTTTGAGTCTCACACTTGTCTCACACACAAACCAAAATCCTAAGAGGAATCCGTTCTTTGTACACGCACATAATCGCTCTCCACCTGGCAAATGGGGCTTGCATAAGGGAATTTCCTTTCGGGTTTGTTAAAGTATCGGGAAAAAATGGGGATAAGGGGCTGGGCGGATTGAAAGTTTGATTGAAAGTTCCTTGAAAGTTTTTCAAAGCCAAAATCCTACTACGAAAGATCCGCAAAATGCCTGTAAAATGGGCAGAAGTCAGAAATAATAATGGGAATTATTTGGAATGAATTGATGGTTTTGTGTTGAATAAATTTTAGTTCAAAGTCCAGCAGTTTTCAATTCACCAACCCAATAACATATTGGGTTGATGCATAATTATCCGGACTTCTTTTATAAATGATTTTATTTAACAAAAAATAACATAGATAGTTAGAAAAATATGTTTAATTGATTATTCTGGAGCATATTCACCGCCTACATCAATAACTGATTGCCATTTGCTTGGAAGACGATCGATTCCACGAGCGAAGAATAAACGATCTTTGGAGGCAATCCACGCTTTAACATCGTCTATCAAGTCATCCAAATCGTTGTAGATCTTATTTGTTTGCCAATTTTTGAGCGATCGATTGACGTGGTAGTCCGTTGGGGCTTCTCCAGTTCTTTGAGATCGCGAAACGACTCTGCGGCAGACCATCCCTTTTCGAAGTGGTAGAGCATGATATGGCGAAGATGGATATGATTGTCGACACGCATTTTGTTCACTAAAGAATAACGAATATTTAAAAAAAAGAAATAGACAAAAAGCTTTCAAAACAAAAAAGATACAAGCACGCAAAAAGAAGTCCGGATAATTATGCATCAACCCAATATATAAAGATGAATTTTGTCTTTAATTATATAAAACCTCAATTCTCAGATAATCTGGTCTATTCTCTACTCGACGATCGCGATTTTGGCTGTTTTCGGCAATCTGCTCGTCATTTTCGTCACCGTTGGACGGTTGGAGTGTAAAAAAAAGAGATAAAAGAAGCCGAATCTGATCTAGTTCTGATTCTTGATCTAGTTTGCTGATCTAGTTTGTTTAGATAAGCTCGTTTCTTTAGATACTCTAGTTTCTTTAGATAAATTGAAAGAAATTCATGAATCAAATACATTTTCAGGCTACGTACCCATTCGGTGACCACTTACTTCATCATCAATCTAGCGTTGGCCGACTTGTTGACCGGCGTTTTCGCGATTCCGTTCAAATTTCAAGCGGCTTTGTTTCAAGTTTGATAAAGACACATTCAAATAAACGTATTTTTCCTAAAATGCTTAGAGAATCGTCGCGTAGTCCTTGTTTTTCCGTACTAAATCATTTTTTTTTCTCGCGAAGCTTTTGAATTGATTTTGTTTGGTTTTTTCTATAAATAACTGCCTTATTTCTTTATTTTTTTGAAACAAAAATAGAGAAATGACAAATAAAATTAGGAAAAATACGGTAGAGTTGATAGCTAGAGTTGATAGCTAGAGTTGATAGCTAGAGTTGATAGCTAGAGTTGATAGCTAGAGTTGATAGCTAGAGTTGATAAAAAGACACTAGAGTAACTAACTAGAGTTGATAAAAAGACAAATTTCTAGGCAAAGCCAAAGCCAAGAGTTTAAGCCAAATCCAGAAGAATTGGCTTTCGTTTGCCTTTTGCTAAGCTTGACTCTTGGTCTTTTAGCTAAGATTAGCTTTTAGCTAAGATTATCTTTTAGATAAGCTCTACTCTATTCAACTTTTCTCTTACAGGTCTGGCATCTACCGCATATTCTGTGCAAGATTGTACCCTATGCTGAGTCTGTCACATTGTCGGGTTTGTTTAAAGCAAAGATATAGAATAAAATAACTTGATACTTATTAACAAAATTTGTAAAGATAAGGAACCGAATTTAAAGATAAGGAACCAAATTCAGAGAGATAAGCAACCAAATCTAGAGAGAAAAGGAATCAAATCTAGAGAGAAAGGGAACCAAATCTATAGAGAAAAGGAATCAAATCTGTAGAGAAAAGGAACCAAATCTTTAGAATAAAGGAACCAAATCTTTAGAATAAAGGAACCAAATCTTTAGAATAAAGGAACCAAATCTTTAGAATAAAGGAACCAAATCTTTAGAATAAAGGAACCAAATCTGTAGAGAAAAGGAACCAAATCTTTAGAATAAAGGAACCAAATCTTTAGAATAAAGGAACCAAATCTGTAGAGAAAAGGAACCAAATCTTTACAATAAAGGAACCAAATCTTTGAAATAAATGAACCAAACTAGTAACTAATTTAATCAACCGCCTTTTGATTAACTTTTAAAAATGCTAGAAGCGGCCAAATTTCAAACTTTTCCGTTTTCAGTCAATTTGAGATCGTTTTTACAGAGTATCCTTTCGGATAAGTGATCTTCGCTTAGAGATTTATCCATGTTATGTTGCTGTTTGCTTTTTCGAATGACATAAGTCTTTCCCTCTCCTATTCTCTCCAAGAAAAAGAAAGAAAGGTAGAAGCTCTGCTGTACGATTCAGTTAAATCAAATAAAATAAATAAATCCAAAAACGGCAAGCCGACAATTCTCTACTCATAGATTCCTATTCCTTAATCATTTTCATTTTAGTCTCCGTTTTCACCCTCACCGCCTCAGCTGTGCACGAGTTTCGAACAGTTTTCGCGCCGAGACATGGCCGACTCTCCACCAATTCAGCCAGGTTTCTAACTAATCTAACTAACTAATCGATTCTAACTAATCGATTCTAACTAAACGACCGTATTTATCAAATACGATTCTCCATTTAGCGACTGGGAAAAATCGGTCGACTTGAGCAGGTGCTTTGTTTATTTTAACTTGCAAGTTTTTTATGTCATAACCGGATTCCCCATTTTTTTTGACTTTAAGATCTGTAAACTTTTCTGAGTGAATGACTTCTGTCCAATCTATAGCATGGATTTCTATCGATTATTTGCTTCATTTCTGAAAGGGCTTCTTTTCATATACGGCTTGATTCATTTTGAAATTTGCATTTAAACCTTCAAATGTTTAGCCTGTTTAAATGCAAATTTCAAATCGATGAGACAAGTCGTATATGAAAAGAAAGCCCTCTCTGTACTGGACTGTGTGCTTTTTGATTAAAGTTCTTTTTTATTAAAGTTCTTTTCTAAAAAGTTTACTTATGAAAAAGCTACCGTAATTTGTTATGAACAACTTATTTTCCGGATACAAGCGGATAAAAGCCAACACCTTTGTGCAATGGTTTAACTGGATATTATAGTCGGAGTACGGTAACTATAGGTTTAGGCTTAGGCTCAGGCCTAGGCTCAAGCTTAGGCCCAGGGCCAGGCTCAAGCTTAAGCTCAGGCCCAGCCCCAGGCTCAAGTTTAGACTTAGGCTCAGCCACAAGCTTAGACTAACTACGGTAGTACCGTGGCTTCAAGAACGGTAGTACCGTATCTTTAGCCGGAGTACGGCAGTTTACGGTAATACAATAGCTTGAGCGGAGTACGATTGCCTCAAGTACGGTAGCTTTTCCCAAAGATGACTTTTTAGAAAACTCTAGTCCAAAAAATCAATCAATCTTTTCTAAATATCGTGCAAAAGCCATTCTTGCGTTCAGCGAGGTGCTGTTGAGAAAAGCGATGCAAATGGCGGGGATCGAGTTGGATTCGTGCGCGAATGGTGATGACGATGGAGAGACGCCGACTCGGGCGACCAGGTGCCACTTGTAGAACGATCGGCTAAGCGCTAAATGATCGGCTAATCGGCTTTTCGGCTAACCAACACCACAGCTTGTTTTTGCGTGTTTTCACCTGGCTTATATAGGATTTTTGATTTATTAGGCACATCATTGTCTTTGTAATGTGAAGCTCAAAAAATGGAAACCCATTCTTTCTGGTACTTTGAAACTTTATTTTCTCATGTCAACGTGTCAAAAGAAAATCTAGAATTCTAGAAAGAGTTTGTTTCCATTTCTGAGTACAAAGTACATCACTAAATTCCACTAAAGTCTACTGTGATCTACTACAAATCTAGTTCTCCTTGTCTAGCTGCAGTTCTCAATGTCAATGTCAAGTGTCCTCGTTTCAGCCTATTTAAATACAACTACACTTTCACAGTTGTTAAAGGAGTACAGTACAGTCTGTCAGAGTACAGTCTGTCAGAGTACAGTCTGTCAGAGTACAGTCTGTCACAGTACAGTCTGTCAGAGTACAGTCTGTCACAGTACAGTCTGTCAGAGTACAGTCTGTCACAGTACAGTCTGTCAGAGTACAGTTTGTAGTACAGTCTGTCACAGTACAGTCTGTCAGAGTACAGTCTGTCAGAGTACAGTCTGTCAGAGTACAGTCTGTCAGAGTACAGTCTGTAGTACAGTCTGTCACAGTACAGTCTGTCACAGTACAGTCTATCACAGTACAGTCTGTCACAGTACAGTCTAATCAAGAAGTTCGCGTCTATGTCTTTGTTTCAGCGATATAAATGACTTCTACACTTCTTTTTTTGCTTCTTGTATCTATGTTTAACACAATTGATCACTCTTTAAGCCGATGTTCAGCTTCTTTTTGAGTTTCATGTATTTCGGAGTCTGAGAACTTCTGAAAAGTCACAGGAAAATTGACTAGATCACTCAACAGCACTTTTCATTTCATTTAAACTCACGTCTCCAATGGGAACCAACAAAGCGAGAACACTGCCACCACAATGATCAACAACAACAACTTTTCATTTCATTTGAACTCTCAATCACGTTCACCTCTTAATTCTAGAGTTTAGAAAAGAAAAATCTAAGAAATTTGTTTACTAGTTGATCAATGAACTGGCAAAATAACTGGAAAATAACTGGAAAATCATTTTTTTGTGAAGGCAAGTGTGCCTTGTACTCGTTTATTTTATTTTTGTTTTGACAAAACTGTTTTGCATTGGCATGGAGCTTGAGATATCATCAAAACAATTGTTTAACGGTTTAACGGGTCGATTTAGATTGCTGGTGTTACTGATCTGGGTGCTAGCCGCGGTGCTCTCCCTTCCAATGGGTCTCTTCCATGAAGTGGATACGACAATGACACCCGATGGCCCAATTGCACGAGTGAGTATCTTGTAAACTGTGATAAGATGTGAGTCTAGTAAAGTAAAATAAAGTTCAGACTCGATTTCTTTTCAGTGTCTACCCATTTACCCAGAAGAGCAATGGTGGAAAGTGTACAACATTTACATCATCGTTGTCACGTATTTCATTCCGATGTTCATCCTTGATACGGCCTATATTTTGATTGCAATAAAGGTGGGAGGATAAACAAGTGATACGGTAGCTTTTCTAGGGTACTGTAGCTTCTCTAGGCTACGATAGCTTTTCCAAGATACTCTAGCTTTTCTAGGATACTCTAGCTTTCTAGGATACTCTAGCTTTCTAGGATACTCTAGCTTTCTAGGATACTGTAGCTTCTCCAGGCTACGATAGCTTTTCCAGGATACTCTAGCTTTCTAGGATACTGTAGCTTCTCCAGGCTACTGTAGCTTTTCTAGGATACTGTAGCTTTTCTAGGATACTCTAGCTTTCTAGGATACTCTAGCTTTTCTACGATACTCTAGCTTTTCTACGATACTCTAGCTTTTCTACGATACTCTAGCTTTTCTAGGATACTCTAGCTTTCTAGGATACTGTAGCTTCTCCAGGCTACGGTAGCTAGGATACTGTATCTGGAGTACTGTAACTTTCATTGGTTTTCAAACAAAAGCTTTCAGATTTGGACTACAACGAATACAATCTCCGAGGAGTTGCAAGCAGTCACCGATCGCAGCACAGCTGATGGAAATCGAAAAGTAATTAGCATTTAAAGTTTAGACTCAATTTTTGAGGAATACGGTAGATATAGGAATACGGTGGATATAGGAATACGGTAGATATCTATACTTTGAACTTTTAGAAATCATGCAGTCACAAATCGTCTCGTCAGGTAAAAAAAGCACATTCACAAGCACTATTCTTTAGATTTTTGCACTAACAGTGAGCACTAAAAAGTTTTAGATTCAATAAATAAATGTAATAAATTTAAAGCCAAATTTTTAGTTAATGAAAATGTTGATCATTGTGGTGGCAGTGTTCTCGCTTTGTTGGTTCCCATTGGAGACGTATCTTTTACTCAATGAGGTCAAACCGGAAATCAATGGGTTGGTGAAGGGTTGAAGAATTGAATGAAAATGTAAAAGCACCGTTTCTCGTGCACTTAATTCTTCGTTTTTCTTCTAGCAACAAAGAAAAATTGAGCAAGCAGTGCGCCAGAAAGTTTGCGTTTATATTTTTGATTTCAAAGTAACAGTCCAAATTTTCAGCTGGTTCTACATTCCAGTGCTCTTCTTTTGCTCGCATTGGTTGGCTATGTCGAACTCTTGTCTAAATCCGATCATTTATGGGCTTTACAATGTAAGAAGATCTCTTTCTTTCTTTCTCTTTCTTTCTTTCTCTTTCTTTCTTCCCTTCTCTTCCTTTCTTTCTCTGACAAGAAGAGATCGAATAGCTCAGTTGTTAGAGCTGTTGGTCTGTCGGGAAAGCAAAAGCTCGGGGTTGAATCCCGTCTTCTGAAATCTTGTCTTTACCATTCCTTGCTTTACCATTACCTCAATTTTCCGTTAATTTGTTACTTTAGGATAAATACAATCGCGAGTACAAACGAGTTTTCTCAAAGCTGCGAAATTGGAGATGGCACACAAAGGGAGGCACAAGAAGTGAGTGACAATTTGAATCCTCTTTGTGAATCTTTCTCGACGTTAAGGGTACTGTAATGTCTGAAATTTTGTCTCATTACAGTATTTCAAAGTACTTAGGCAAAAAAGCTATCGACAACGAAGCTATAGCTAAGGAATATATCAAGAATTTTCATTTGAAGAATTGAAACGATATTCAGTCTTTTGCTAAACAGTTATTGGGTTACCGTAGTTAGAAAATTTGTCTTAGACAACTTTCGATTATTGTAAATCCCTAGATTTTGCTTCATTACATTCTGGGAATGAAAGAATGAAAGGATTCAGGCTTACAGTAAAGTAAAGATTAAAAACAATATCCCAGACGACGAGTGGTTGCATCTTTTGAATTTTGAGAATTTTCTTTTGCTATATACCGTATTTTCTCTAATAGTAGTGCACCAAAAGCTTCGCCTAAATTCCTCGAAATCTCGAGAGCCGCTTATCAGAACCTATCGATGTGGTGGTCGGGAAATGTAGCTGACGATGAGATCTAGTGGGGGATTTGAGTGTTGAGTTTCTGTGACAAACTTGGAAATAATAAAATAGTCATCAACTCGGCTCGCCAGGGTGCACTACTATTAGAGAGAATACGGTATATTTGGAATGAGCATAAAGTTCTGCGTCGAATGATATAGGTTGCATAGCATTTGACCGGATCAATCCTCCCGTGTCCATTAAATATCTTCGCCATCCACCGTATCCTCTCCAATATTAGTGCACCAAAAGCTTCGCCTAAATTCCTCGAAATCTCGAGAGCCGCTTATCAGAACCTATCGATGTGGGGTCAGGAAATGTAGCTGACGATGAGATCTAGTGGGGGATTTGAGTGTTGAGCTTCTGCAAAAGCTTCGAAACCGTAAAATAGTCACCAACTCGGCTCACCGGGGTGCAATACTATTAGAGAAAATACGGTACTTTGTTTGTTTTATGTAAAATGGATATTTATTAACTTTTCCAGGTTCCTCTCAAAATTTCACCACCGAATATCCGGCGATAACGTTAATCGACAAAGAAACATCAGCAACAAATCTGAATCCACCGTACGTGGAAACGTTTCAGGTAATTGAATAAAATAAATAAATAGATTGGCTGCGAATTGGAGAAAAGATTATGGCAGTTTTTCGTTTTATTAGGCTTGTTTTATGTCAACAAATCGTTTTATTAGGGTTGAATCCTACCATAAATACTGTAATAGTACCCCACCCCCATAATGACGGTGCGGAGTGTTGCGTAGTCTAGCTTTGAAGGAGGTTTGAATAATTGGGCTTAAAGTTAAAGTCGAAAAAAAAATAAACTTTAAATAAAATCGTTTTTCAAGGTGGCCGCTGGAATTCCCACAGGAAAACCGACGGCATTATGGTAAAATAAACTGGCTTTCAACGTTTAACCCCAACTAATCCCCGTTTATGTTTGTTCTTTGTGCTTTAAAGTGGAAATGAATGTTTTCTGGCGCACTGAAAGGCTTGATTTCTTCAATTTCTTGCGAATCAATGGCTTTATTCATTGGTATTATTGATTCAGCGATGAAATGAAGAATCCCATGCACCAGAAAGTTTGTGTTTCCATATTTGCACATAAAAGTGCATAGTGCACATAGTGCAATCTCTTAACCTTTGTTTGCTGTGGTTTATTTGAAAGATTACGATAATTAAATCATTGTTTAGATGCGACGGAGATGGCGCTTTGAATTTCTGCGTTTTTTCCCTCACAGTGACTACATCGAAATCCGGGGATCATCGCTTTTAATGTAAACAATGTAAACAATTCATATTGATTTTTGTAATTTGCATTTATCCATGTCTATCTTTATCGATCTTTATCTATCTTTATCTATATTTTCTTTTCGATCTCTCATCGCCAAATCGGGTTTCTTTCTTTCCTTTCATTTGTGCTCATTTCTTCTTTGAAATTCTTGTTGCTCGGTTGCTTTTTTGTCAAAAGCTATTCAAAAATCTTTGGGTAAACGCATAAATTGTTTCATATCTGCAGATTTATAAACGAATTCTCCTCTTCTAAAATAGACTAATACGTTTCTGAGTTTCTCTTAAAAAAAACAATTAACCTGGTTAACCAATTAACCAAACAAAAATCTGGTTTTGATCAATTAATTGGTTCCAATTGGAGTTCCAATTGGTAGACTCAATAAATGAATAGCTTCAATCGATTCCCCGATCACGAAAACCCCTGGATACAGATTTACAGCTGAATACCTTCTTTCTATATCATCTAAAAAGCGAAAGAAGAAAATCACCTATGTAAATGACTGGAATGGCTGGCGAAATGTTCTTTGTACCTCGCGATCGCTCGTTGTCTGGCACACGTCTCCGATAGATAGATGTTTCTTTTTTGGAATCCGTAAAGGGGAAAGAGCGGTGAGCGACTGAGCGGGTTTCGCTGCAATTGGGCGTCACCATGCCCAAACTCGTGGGATCGCTTTTGTCCTGAATTTACTACTATTTTTCCATAACCTCCGCATCCCGTTAAACCAATTGTAAGGTACCAACTGTTAGTGAGACTTTCCGAAAATTACTAATTATCTCATTGGAGGTGATCCTCTATAAGCACCATATTGCAACAAAAAAAATTCAGAAAATCCCGAATGAGGTTATCCAAAAGAAGAAATGCTTGACTGAAATGGTAGAAGAAAGCAAAACAGAAATCGTTAAAATATTAGCGACGGATTTACATGGAAATTCAGTGGAAAATGGCTGAATGTTAGAAGAGTTCTAGACAAAAAGCATCAAAATCTTAGTGACGGGTTTTTCTGAGAATTATCTTTATCTTTACCATTTATCTTTTACCATTTATCTTTTCCCTTTATCTTTATCATTTATCTTTTCCATTTATCTTTATCATTTATCCTTTCCATTTATCTTTCATTGACTCTTCTTCTTCTTCTTATAGTCTTTATGCGTATCATATTTTGATAAAATTCGAATTTATATTAGCAGTAGATTGTAAATTTTAAATTTTCTTTCAAAAAATCAAGCTAAATCAAACATTTCTAAGTACTTCTTTAATTTATATTTCTATTCTTGACCAACCTATCCTTTTGAAGGCACTCAAGTTAAAGGGCTTACACTGGGGAAACGTTCTTTGTACGTTAAAGCACTCAACATTCAAAGAGATTTTTTTCAATTTTCCTTTTTACAAGCTTTTAATATTGAATCGAATATATTATACTACATTCAATGGAGAAATCCATTGATGAGACTTGTCTCATTCACGAGATGCCCTACGAGATCATGCGCGACTTGTGCTCGATTCTTGACTCGGGCGAGATTTGGATTGAAATCGGTATTGCGAATTTGGATTTTTTTGTAATGTAATGAATTTTAACAAGTGTATTTGCAAAATAAATCTATGTTTACCGTATTTCTTCGAATAGAAGACCGGGTAAAGAGTATCATCGCGTACTCCTGGCCCTTTTTAAAATTTCTTTTCTGCATAAAAGCTTTCAATCAAGTGCTATAGAGCTGGAAAATGACTCAAAAATACCACATGAGCTAACATATTTTGAACCGGTCTTCTATTCGAAGAAATACGGTATATAGTTTGATCGTAAATTTTAGTGCCATACATGCCTGGAATCGGCAACAATGATGTTGAGGGGTGCAAGCGATATGGGGTAAGTATAAAGTCTACAAAAGGCTGATTTTGCAAGTTTTATTGATTCTTTTATGCTCTAAGTGTTATGTTTTTTATTTTATTTTGAACTTTAGAATGCTGAGAAAGCTGGCTACGGAGCTACGTGGCTTTTGTTGAGAGTTTGGGCGAGTAAAGGCTACTCGATCCTTGATCTCTACATCGTTTTCGCTCACGCAAAGATGGTTAGATGTATGGAGATTATGAAAGCATTGAGTGAGTTTATGGTTGAAGAAGAAAATTGGGTATCTTAACTTGTATCCGAAACAATTTTGTGCACTTTAAAATTGACACTTTGAATTAAAGCAGGTGTTTATTGTTAGCTCTGGCTGAATCTGACTACAATATACTTGATAAACTGTAAGCTAACAATAAACAAAGCTAAACAACAAAACAATGAAAAAAAAGAACCACACAACAAAAAAAACCAACAAAAAGCAATCAACCAGAATGAAATTTTTTGCAAAATTTTTCTCTTATAAACTGCTCGTTACCGTAATCCCGACAAAACCTTTTAGGGGCACATTATATTCAATTTTCAATTCAATATTCAACATTTTTAAGAAATTATATTCAATCTACTATATATAAAAGGCAAGCGCCTGTCTGTCCGTTCGTTCGTGCTTATGGCAGAAATCTCAACCCTCAGTGCGCCGCTTTAAATAATTTTTTCTTTGTTAGATAGGGAATTTTATTAGTTGTGCATCTCACCTTTTAAATTTTTTTAAAGCAAAAATCGGGGTACCTACGGGGGATCGAACTCAGGTTGTGTGGGCGAGAGACGGTCGCGCTACCTACTGTGCCATGAATGCAAAAGACTCAAACTTGCATTTTTGCCGGAAATTCCCTTCCCGGAAATTCCATTATAGAATTCAGTGGAACATCCAAAATCCACAAAATCATTTATAATCAGCGGAGTGGGACAAATGCGACCTTTTTTTTGCGCACCCGGACATTTGCTCACCTTTTTTTCCGCACCTTGCCCATTAGCGCACCTTTTTTCGCGTTTTAAAAAAGCTCTAAAAAGCTGATATTAACCAATTTCTATTCGAAATGTTGTTTTTCTAGGTAATTTGAGGGTGTAGAATCGAAATTTTGACATAACAGAGCGTGTGGAACCAATTTGAAAGACAAAACGGCTAGGTCAAATTACAGAAAATTGTTTTAGAAAATTGTTGATTTTTCTCTTTGTATAACTCCGTCCGTTCGCTTCCACAAGCTCTGATATGCCAAAATTTCGATTCTACGCCCTAGAATTACCTAGAAAAACAACTTTTGGAATAGAAATTGGTTAATATTAGCTTTTAGAGCTTTTTAAAACGCGAAAAAAGGTGCGCTAATGGGCTAATTGCGGAAAAAAAGGTGCGCAAATGTCCGGGTGCGCAAAAAAAGGTCGCATTTGTCCCACTCCCATAATCAGGTCAGGTCAGTTCAAAATCAGAGTAAGGCCAGAAAAGCTGCAACATCAAACTTCTAATTGTAAGCTAAATAACTATAATACTGTTGACTTTAGTTAATCCAAAGCACTACTACTTGCAGCAACTCTGCCTGGGTGGAGGAGTGGCGAGTGCGCCGAGGATCTCAGCGAATAACACATCACAGTCAAGTTCAAAAGGACAACAGGTAGCTAAAGTAGATAAAATAATATAAAAGTTTTTTAGAACTGGAGCATGATTGGATCGAGGAATTCCGGGACGGAGCCTTTATCATCGAGTGTTCGTCCGCCACATGCCACCGCTTCTTCATCGGCTGAAACAGCTTCTAGGTAGTAGTTGAGTAGTAGTAATAGCTACGATTGAGTAGTTGAGAACCTAGTAAAATTTTAAAAACTCATACGATAGATATCCAAATTCTAAAAAAGCAACTTTTTAGTTCAACCACCGACGATTCTTCAGCTCGAATCTTCACCGGACTCCAAAACACCCCACAAGTCTCGTACAGTGAGCTAGAGGTGAGGAAACTAACAAGGAATGGTCAACAGGCTGAGTCGGACAAATGAAATGAGCTCTCGAACCCGAGAGCTTTTCCCGAGAGCTTCAGAAGCGAGCCCTCTACCACTAGGCCAAGACTGCGATCAATCAGCGCCGCTGAAAAGAGCTGAAAAGGGCTTTATAACACAAATAATCGCATTTTCAGAATCCTAACAGAGTTCTAACAAACTTTAAACGCTTATTACTACTGCCAGAGTGGCATTTAGCAAAAAATGGAGCATATATTCGGAAGCAGCGTAAAATTCTGCGTCGAATGGTATAGATCGCATGTCATTTGGCCGGCTCAGGCTCAGTAAATCTAGCTAATAATATCAATTCCATTTCATAAATCTAGTTAGCTACCGATAATTTCTCGCGTAACAATATGGTGGGAAAGGGTGGCTATGGTGTGGTGTATCGAGGTGAATGGAAACAGACGAAAGTTGCTGTGAAGAGGCTACACGCTGGGGCGGCTGATCGGGGGAATCAGGTAGAGACTACTGTAGAGATAGAGAAACAAATGCAAATTCTATACCTAAATATCACTTTGTGCTCATGAACTCGTTTAGTTTGAGAAAGAACGGCTTCGACAAAGTCTACAAGAGCTACGAACCCTGGCAAAGTATCGACATGATAACATATTACCATTGTAAGTAAAGCAATATAGATACTTCTTACAATAACAGATTGCCAAAACTCGTTAGATCTTACTTACTAAGTATTATTTTAAAAGTTTAGATATGCCTTCTCCTTAGACGGTCCAGAGCCCTGTTTGGTTTATCAATTCATGGCCAATGGCTCGCTGGAGGATCGGATTTTGTGTAGGGTTGGTAGGCTGAAGAAAAATCTATTGGCTAATCTATTGACTAGTCTATTGTCTATTGGCTTCTGTATGTAAATTGTAGCTTTTAGGAAGGAACAGCTCCATTAAATTGGCGTCAAAAGCTGGACATTGCTGAGGGAGCGGCAAGAGGGTTGCACTTTCTGCATACAATTGGTGAGAAGGTCTATCAATTCTAAATGGAAATCCTTTTTAATCAACCTCAAGCCTACTGTAGTCTATAATATTGTAAAGATATTTAGTCTATCATATTGTAAATTTGTTTTCTTGCAGCTTGTGACGTACTCTAGTGAAAGGCAGACTGTAAAGGGTATACAAAAGTACACTGTACTAACTATAAGGGTATAGTACCACTGTACTAACTTATCGTATACAATTATTGGTTACACAATCATTGACAAAGTTCTCGTAGTTCAGAAAAGTTGATAACTTTTAGGCCGAACACCGATCATTCACGGAGACGTGAAAACAGCGAATATCCTTCTCGATAAGCATCTCGAGCCAAAGCTTGGCGACTTCGGTTTAAGTCGAGATGGGCAGGTTTGTGGAAAAAGAACTTGTCGCAATTCGAGTGTACTTTCTGTGTAATTTCTAAGCTTTCAGAATAGAATCAAACTTTTTCAGAATACAATTTATAGCAAAACAAACAGATTTATCACCAAAAAACTTGAGAAAACTTTCTCACAAAAATCTGAAGAAGGAAAGAGACAAAAAAAAGTAGTAAAAAGAGGCTTATATTGCCAAAAAAAAACAAGCCAAACTACGGTAGCTTATTCACAGTTTAGCTTAGACTGAATAGCTTGATGACAGTCGTCACAGAACTAGATAAAACAAAAATAAAGCTTGTTTTATTGAATTGAAAACCCAGGACACTTCAAAAATCACAAAATTCAGGTTGAAGCCGATGTTGAGGAGAAATTTCCGCTAATAGCCTCGCATATCAAGGTGAGATACCATTACATTGTCTATTGAATATTTAAAGGTACGATAAGTTCTAGTATCTAACTTGACTACAGTATTTTTAACTTTATCTGAAGTTGACCTGAAAGATATTCAAGATACTGGAACTCAAAATCCGCTGATCGTGAATATCCAAAAGAATTAGTGTTTGTGGTTGGCTATTGTCTCTTGGCATACTGTACTTACAGTACGTCAAGATATCCTCCATTGAGACGAGAGACTGAAGTTATAATACCTTTCTATATATGAAACAGCAGCAAAATTTTGGAGGAAAAAGCAAAAGAATTGGCGGCAGAAGGAGTCGAACCCGGACCCTCTCTCTTCCGTTCGTTCGTTAACCACTCGGCCATGATCTCGTAGATGACTCAGCGCGAGCGCACCTGTCTCTAATGCACCCGTGTCGGCACTTTTGGTTTTTAAAAAATTTAAAAACGTTCCACAACTACATGAAATTCTAAGCCAAACTAACTATAATTCATTTGAAACGGCCCACTGGGTGGGGAGGAGTAGTACGCACAGACAGACAGACAGACAGACAGACAAACAGACAAACAAACACAACTCTTTTATATATAGTAAATTGTAGGGCACTTTGGCGTATCTACCCCCAGAATTTATCACCTCAAAAATCCTCTCCACCAAGCTCGACGTCTACAGTTTTGGCGTGGTTCTACTCGAGTTGGCGGCAGGTTTGTAAAGTTCAAAATGAAAAGTTGTGTTCTTTAATTGCAAATTTACAATCTCTCATTCAATTGTTTCAGGTCTGAGGGCTTATGTGGACACACGGGAACCCCACGGTTTGGCCGAGTACTGTGCCATGTTGAGTGAGAAAAACGATCGAAAACCGAACGCTCTCTTCGTAGCACTCGTTGACAAGAGGACACCCAGCATAAATCCAGGTTAACAAATGGCACAATTCGTTAGAATCTTTTCAAATGTGCTATAACAAACTCATTGCAGGATTTGTAAGATGAAATAAATCCAGAAACAAACTTCAGAAGTGGACAAAGCGTTTTTCTCGCGACTCCTCCGACTCGGTCTACAATGTAGCCGAAAAGAACGCTCCGATCGACCGGCTTTCAAAGAAATTGTCGAAGAACTTGCGAAAAACATTGATTCGAATAAATAATTTTGGAATAAATAAATAAATAACTTTGAAAAACCCCAAAATGTTCAATTTTGGTATTTGAAACCAACAAAAGCTGTCTGAAATTGTTTAATTGTTTAACTGAATATCGTGATTTTTAGAAAAAATAACAAATCATCAATGAAGCGATAAAGAAAATGATTGCCGTATCTTCTCGTCAAGTACGTGTCTCTCTTTTTTGATCTCTGGAAATTTTTAATACATTTGTTTAATTAAGAAGTTTAGCAACGTAAAAAATTAAAATTCAGTACCTGTTTTCAATTTTTGCACTTTACTAACGTTTTAAGCGTTTTGTAGCACTGTCCTCTTTAATTTTTCAATTTTCAGGTTCATCATGACGGCTTGCGACGAGGTGATTCTAACGGTCAGCTACGCGAAAGGACTTCTTGGAGCCGCTTACTACGATCAAGCTCTACAAACTATTTACCTTTTTGAGGATCGAGGCGAGGATGCCGAGTTCATGCTTCTCGATGGAGTCTTGGTAAGCAATTTTTTATACTAGTATTACTACACTCAAGTACGCTTTGTACATGTCGTTTTGATGCTTATCGATCGTTTTCAAGACGTTCTAACATAATTGACAGTATCAAAGGGTAGGGTTATAGTTTCAGAAAATAAAACGAATTGTGCTAGTTTAAATTTTTGAAAGACTAGAAGTTTTTCCGAAAACTAGTGAAATTAAGTTTAGAATTAGCTTACTAATGCTCCGTGGAATTAAAAAAAAACTTGAAAAGGAGAATTTGCAAAGCTGCATCGAGTGGAGTAGCACTTATATTAACCTTTGTCACGCCTTTTTGTTTGCCCAATTCATCATTTTATTTTAGGCTCAGGTGAATCCGTCGACTGTTGTGGCAAATCGAAACCAGGACACGCAGCTACTCTTCCATTTGGCAAAATACTGCAAGGTGGAGCCACCAGAAGCTGCAAACAAAGAAGAAGAGGATGAATCGGATCAAAGTGAAGTCTTTTCTGGGGAAATTGCTGCTCCAACAACGAAAAAAGTTGGCATAGGATATTCGCAAGAAGAGGAATTTGAGGAGGAAACGGAAAAGGAGGCTGAAGAAGAGGAAATGATGGATGAAGATGAGCTGATCGATCGCAAATATGTCGTTTTGTCGAACAAAGCTTATCATATTGAGCGTGCACAAGCCCGGATTAACACTTTGTTGCAAACAGAAGGCACAACAATTGATGAGCAAGAGCTTTTTGTTCGCTTTCGTCTAAATTTGAACAACATCAACACGGTGCGAGCCTTTGGAGCTTTACTTATGTACTTGGATGCGATTCGTTTGGGAGTTGAAAGACAACATTTGAGTGTTCCGGTACCAGTGAAAGGGTTGAAAAAGTTTACAGCCGGGTCACTTGTGGAGATTGATTCGAGCACTTTCAAAGCCCTGGACATTATGGCAGAAGATTTCAAAGTGGAAAGACTTACTCGTTTCGATCCAACCTTGATTGGATCGCCTCATATGTCATTGTTCAGTCTGTGCAATCGAACGCGCTCCGGTGTTGGCCGACTGATGTTGAGACGTTGGTTTGAGCGACCCACAACAGATTTTGTTCTATTGGAAAAACGCCAAAGAACGATTCACTTTTTGTCCCAAGAAGCAAATGGAGATGTTGCTTATTTCTTTCATGTCAACTTTGCAAAGGTTATCAACGTTCGAGCAATCATCGGGAGAATGAAAATGTCGACAATGAAAGCAAGGGATTGGAGGCCATTGGTGACATCTTGCCGAGCTTTGATCAACATTGGAAATTTCATCAAGAAGCGTGGTGTGAAGCTACCGGTGATTGACGAATACATGGGCTTTTTCGATGAAGAAGTTGAAGAAATGACGGTGCTTTTTGGCTCAATGATTGACTTCGATCGGACTGATCGCGAGAAACGACTAGTCTTGCAACGAGGCATTGATCCTGAGTTGGACTTCAAATACGATGCCCTCGATTCACTTGATCATTTCTTGCACAAGCAGGCGATTATTGAAAGCAAAAATTTTGGGATACAAGTCGGCGTTGAGTACTCGCATGTCTTCAAGTTTATGGTTATTTTGCCAGAAGAGGATTTAGATCCCGGAAACCCACGAGTCACACAAGTTCTTTTCACTTCCGATGGTAAAGCTTATGTCAAGACGAATCTGATGGAGGTCATTGATGATAAGATCGGAAACTACTATAACGAGGTGATCGATCGAGAAAGGGCTGTGAATTTGCGACTTTTGGAGGTTTTGCGGGAGAACACTGGCAATTTATTGGGTATGGTTCGTGCAGTTGCCATGCTTGATGCTGCACAAGCGCTTGCAATCACGGCTAGGGAATTAAGGTGGTGCAGACCAAATCTCGTCTCTGAACCGGTCATCGACGCCGATGGAGCTTATCATCCAATCTCTGCATTGTTGCTGAAAAAGAGTTTTGTGAGAAACATCATTCGTTCGAATGATAGCTATACTCGAATCAAGGTCTTCACTGGACCCAACGCTTCCGGCAAAAGTGTCTACTTAAAAACTGTTGGTGTTTTGGTCTACTTGGCGCATATTGGATCTTTTGTACCAGCTGAGAAAGCCACCATTGGGCCATGCGATCGAATTTTGTCAAGAGTTTACACGGTGGACACGGTGCTTGATGGACTTTCCACATTTGCCTGTGATGTGAATCAGATCGCAACCGCCATTTCGAGAGCCACCAGAAATTCTCTGGTGATCATTGATGAATTTGGGAAGGGAACAGTGACCGAAGTTGGATTAGCTTTTTTGGCCTCGATTTTGAATTTTTGGATTGAGAGGGGTTCTCAGTCGCCCCATGTTTTCGCATCTTCTCACTTTTATGCTTTGCCATCGCTTCTTCATCTCAACCCGGAAGTGCTCTCTTTTCACGCAATGGATTCATCAGTTCAAGGAAACGAGTTACGCTTTCACTATCGGGTAGTTGATGGATTGGTCTCTTCATCTTATGCAACATACATGGCCAGGGAAATGGGAATTGAAGAGCACGTAGTTCAACGATCAAGCGAGATCTACGATCAATTATGCCAAGGCCTCGGTCTTTTAACTCTCCCACATGCAGATTCCGAAGAAGAAAGCAATCAAAAGCTGTTAAAAGTTATGGAAAAGATTGTTCCTATGTTGTTGAATATGTGAATTTTGTTCTTGTTTTTTTTTTTGTTTTGTTGTTTCATTGTTGATCGTTTAATTGATAAATTTTTAGAATGGTCAAACGACGTCAACTTGTTGCCGAAAATGAGATTGGCCGACCAATTCCACAGGTAATGCATTGCTGAAAAATTTAATTTGCCTTTAGAAAAAGAAGAAGAAAGCTAAGAACAAGGCGGCGACTAAGAATTGGGCGACGACACCAAGTTTTGATGTAGACGATGCTGTGCTGATTGTAGGAGATGATGCCAATGGTAAGTCAATTGGGTAAATACTTTGTGAAACGAATTGAAGAGGTAAATTTTAGTGACCCTATTGAACATTTCATTGTTTTTATGTTATTATAATTTCAGATTTTGCGTCGACGAGCGTGCGCCCAGATGTCGAGTTTATTAAGACACTACGAGAAAATTCGGGGATCAGGTGGCTTTACAGTCACTTATAGACTTTGAAATTAACTGTTAACGCATTTTAAACTTTTGAACTTAATTTAGGAAATACCCGGGTATAGCAGAGCCGATGACTGTCATTGCCGTTCGTGTTGGTGAATGTGTTTTGCTGCACGGAATTTGTCAAATTCAATCAATCGTCGGCCATGCAACGGTGCTTAATTGTAGTTTCTGTTTATTTAGTTGTGATTTAGGTTAATCTCTTCAATCTTGAACCGGGTGCCTACAAAGAGGACCGAGCATATGTTGCTGTCGCACCGAGTCGATTGGGATGTCCGGTAAGATTGGTTTTATCAGTAAGAAACCGACACTTACCTAGTTTATTTTAGATCTCGATTTGCGGACAAACTTCGAAATCACGCGAGAAAGAGTCACGTGTTATAAACCGAGTAAAAGAGGTTTCTTGTCTATCCGCGTTCTGTTATTTAACTTTTTTGGGTGGCCCCTCAATCGGTTGAACGAATCATGCGAGTGTGGAATGAGGCGCCTGTTAGCACGGCAATTCTTGTTATTGTTCGACGTGCACCAAAGTTGTTCAACATTCTTAATGCAATTTACAGTGAGGTAAAATAATGTTTTATTGTTTTAAGAAGAAATTAATTTTCAGAATATTATGGCTCCTCCTGTTGTTGGCTCAACGATTAAGATGTGGTCAGACAACGATTTCTCATTTTACAACGACGCGTCTGTAGCTACAATTAAAAGTACTTGATTTATTCTTTTTAAAATTTTAAACTACTAGGCGTGATCACACAAATGCACACGGTGCGCGAGCGAGGTTCCCGCTTCAAGCTTGTCATAGCTGGCCCACAAAATGCTGGAAAGTCAACACTTGCTCGCCTTTTGATCAATTCGTTTCTCTCGTCGAAGTGAGAAGTTAAAAGTAGTAAAATAATGATAGGCTTTTAAATTTATTAAATCAAAGGATTCAAATTAATCTTTTAGACCATCTGAGCTTTGGCTTCTCGATTGCGACATTGGTCAATCTGAAATGGGCCCACCGGGGTGCGTTGCTTTATCAACCATTGAGACACCACTACTCTGTAAGTTATTTAGGCAGCTTAACATTTTTGGATTTTGTGGTAGGATGAGGCAACGCAATTTTTGTTTTTAGACCAAAAAGCATCTAGAATTTAGCACCACCCTTTGCTCATCAACCGTCATTTCTCAAGCAAGCTTTCTTCTATGGTGGAATCAATCTCGAGTCAGCAGAGTATATGAAACAAATTGTTAATCGTCAAATTGACTTCTGGAGACAAGTTATTTTTATGTGCTAAAGATGTTGGCAAATGATTCTTTAGAACTCCAAACCCGATTCGATTCTAATCGTTAATACAATGGGTTTTATTGTGGATGAAGGACGAGAAGTACTCGAACATACGATCTCCAAGTTACAGCCAACTTCTTGCCTGTTTATCAACTTTCACATGAATGTAATCTTTCTTCTCAGTTTTATTTATTTTGACTGTTTACTTTTTAGTCACTTAAAAATTCGAAAACGAAGATGTTAACGATTGATAGGCAATCTTTCAGTTATGAGCAGCACTTTACGTAGGTTTCGGAGTAGCATAATCATTGAAAGGGATCTAGAGTGAAAAATCCGCGATTGCGAGAAGCAACTTTGCTGGCTCACTTGTGTCACGTGCTTGACTCCGAGATCAAATGGCATCTCTCCTCGATTCGCAATATATTACCATATTGCGTTGATTTTCGGTATGTTTCGATTTATGATTAGGAACAGAATCTGATTTAGAAACATTTGCTTCTGTATGCCCGAGGATCAAAATGCAATAAAGAAGGAGATGATTTTTGCTTCGTTTAATTGTACCCTGGTCGCGCTTGGTTTTTATGAGAATGAAGAGGTAGTTTTTAACAAACATTCGATGGAAGATAATTTGTTTTCAGAGAGCTCCAAGAGCCTGCCGTATTGCTGATATCGACTCATTGCCTCTCTTGCGCTTTTGCTCATTTTTGGACAAGGAGCCTCTTCGCATCCTTGGATATGGCATTTTGCGTGGAATCGATCTTGAAACACAGTAACTTATGGTCTGTACACAAAGATTGAAATAATTTTTTAGGAAGCTCTACGTTACGACACCGATCCCAAGCGAGGAGTTTGAGAAAGTCACCTGTATTGCTCGTCCGACAAACATCAGCTTACCATCGGTGTTCATTACGGCTCAGGTACTTTAAACAAGCTGTCAAGTGTGTTGTTTCTTTTAGACAACCGAGTCTCCGTATCGTGCCCAAAGCGCTCAGGAGAGTAGTAACAGTCAGAGTTTCCAGATGTGGCGGTATTTTATCATAATTTACGCAATAAATATGTTTTTACTTTAGACCTTTCGAGAAGAGCGTGACGTTGAAGAGGCTCAACAAGGGTCATTAGCGATATTCATATTTTTGTTAGATTTTGTTTTTTGACCTTTCTAATATACTTTTTGCATCTTGTTCATTTATGTGTCTGTTATCCAAATAAAAATTTTATTTTTGAGGAATCAAATTTTTGTTTGTTGCTAACGGCTTAATACTTCACTTGTAATTCATTTAATGATGAGATGGGCTAATTGTTTTCGTTTTAAGATGTCCCAAGCTTCCGGACATACGCGGCTTGATGCGCGGATCAAAACTTTGGTCGAAAATGGTGTCGCGAAGCATCATCGATCGTTATTTGTGATTGTCGGCGATAAAGGCAAAGATCAGGTATGGCTTGAACTGCAAATTAAACAACAATTGTAAATCACATTTTGAGAAACAGGCCAGATTTCTATGGAAGCATCTTGTTGCTTTAGATACCCACTCTGCATCACATTCTAACGAAAGCCACTGTTGGACCTCGCCCTTCAATGTTGTGGTAAAAATAGACTCTACGCGCATTGGTATATTCATTCATTTCAGGTGTTACAAAAAAGAGTTGGGCTTTTCTTCGAATCGACAAAAACGAGCTCGTCAACTTAAGAAGAAAGGAGAAGTCGGCAACATTATGCTAAAAGTTTGAATACTTTAAGTACCTATGGAAAAAAAGAGTTTAGGATAATCCGTTGGATATTTTCCTTTCGTCGACTCAAATTCGTTACTGCTACTATTCGGAGACGAAAAATATTCTGGGAAACACTTATGGAATGCTTGTACTGCAGGTAAAAACATGCTGTTATAGTTTTCTTTATTCAAAGTTTAGGATTTTGAAGCAATCACTCCCAATTTATTGGCTCGGACAATTGAAACGGTTGAGGGAGGTGGCCTCGTCGTTTTATTGCTTCATTCAGTCAATTCATTACGGCAACTGTACACAATCTCTATGGTTTGTTGTTTTGAGCGAGAAAGACTGACTTGTTTTTAGGATGTGCACAATCGTTATCGAACTTCTTCCAGTGGAGAAATTGTTGCCAGATTCAACGAGCGTTTTATCCTTTCATTGTCCAATTGTCACTCATCCGTGGTACGTTGAGTTAGCATGCCCTTTAAAGAATTTAAAATCTACGCTAAATTATGCTTGGCTTTGCGGATTTTCATTTGAGAAGAAAAGATAGTCTTTAGGTTATGGACGATGCTCTTCAAATTCTTCCCATTTCCAGCCATATGTCGAAGATTCAAGCTGTATCGCCATCGGCTAAAGTAAATATAAGTCAAATTCTTTGTTTAATGTTAATTTTAGAATGAAATTTCGCCAAATGACACAGAGTTGCAAAGTTTGAAAGAACAAATGAAAGATTCGAAGCCAATCGGGTTTCTGTTGGGAAAGTGTTGCACCCTTGATCAAGCAAAGACTCTATTGAGGTAGTTGTGCTGATTAAATACCCTATATAAATAGACCTTAGATTAATCGATGTTCTGACGGATAAGCAGCTTACTGTGACTTGCTCAATAACTGCTGGGAGAGGACGGGGAAAATCAGCTGCAATGGGTATTGATAATAATTTTTACGAAACGACACTCCTCTTCTTTAGGTCTAGCTGTCGCTGCGGCTGCGTCTTTTGGTTACACAAATATTTTCGTCACTTCTCCATCACCCGAAAACTTGAAGACCTTTTTCCAATTTGTTGTGAAAGGCTTTCAAGCGATGGAGTGGAAGGTTGCCGAAATTTTAAATCCTTTAAAAAGAGATTTAGGAACACATGGATTTCGAACTAGTACAATCGACAAATCCCGAGTTCAATAAAGCGCTCGTTAGAATAAATGTGACTCGAGAGCACCGACAAGTTGTTCAGGTTCGCGTTTTTTAAAACCCTGTAATTCTGTTTTTTTAGTACATTGACCCACGAGACGCAGATAAACTTGGTCAGGCTGAGCTGGTGATTGTTGACGAAGCGGCTGCCATCCCACTCCCACTTGTGAAACAACTAATATCTGGTAATTGTCTCATCACTCCTATTTCTATTGTTTTTAGGACCCTACTTGGTTTTTCTTGCTTCGACAATATCCGGCTATGAGGGAACTGGACGATCTTTGTCTATGAAACTTCTGTCACAGTTGAAAGCCCAATCTGCTGGCCTGGCTGTAAATGATAAAGATGCTGGAGCAAAAGGAAAGGATTTTTTTTAATGCTAGCTGCTAATTCTGCTCATTTAGGAAGAACATTGCATCAGATGGAACTCGAGGAAAGCATTCGTTATCGACCTGGGGATGAAGTTGAAGCATGGCTCTCGAAGGTTCTTTGTCTGGACTCTCCATCTGCTACACTCAAGCTGACATGTGGAACGCCTCCCCCCGCTAAATGCCAATTGTATGTTAATTTATTAACCAGATGCCAAGTATTGTATATTGTAGATACTATGTCAACCGGGACACTCTTTTCTCATTTCACAAGGCTTCGGAAGCTTTTCTCAACCAGGTATGTTTCAAAATTTTTGGCTTAAGATTTTCTATTTGTAGGTTATGTCAATCTATGTGTCGGCTCATTATAAAAACTCGCCAAATGATTTGCAAATGTTGTCAGACGCTCCAGCTCATCACCTTTTTGTGTTAATGGCTCCCATCAAGAAAGAGGATTCATCATTGCCTCAAGTAAATTTTGCCTTTAATTTAACTCATTTTTATATTCAGCAATCACCAAAATAACTAATTCATTTGAGGTTCTTGCCGTGGTTCAATTGTGTCTAGAGGGAAATATTGCCAGAGCCGTTGTCTCGAATTCTTTATCGAACCGACAAATTCCCGCTGGAGATCTTTTGCCATGGACAGTTTCTCAACAGTTTCAAGTAAGGAAATCTTCGAAAGTGGTTACGAAGTTCATTCAAGGACAAGCTCTTCCCTTCATTGTGTGGTGGAAGGATTATTAGAATCGCAGTGCACCCTGACTACCAAGGTTTGTTTTCGAATGAAGCCGCAAGTATCGTTTTTAGGTATGGGTTATGGTAGTAGAGCACTTGAAATTCTCGAGAATTACTACTTGGGTAAAATTCCGTGTCTCTCGGAGGAAGACGATAATGGAAAGAAAAACAAAGAAATCGGAACTGTGAAGGTTTGCAACAAGGTCCTGTCAACAAAAACTATTTTTAGGAAAGTGCACTTGGTCTTTTGGAAGAGCAAATTTCGCCAAGAGCCACACTTCCACCATTGTTATTGAGTTTGGAGGAAAGAAAAGCGGAGAGACTTGATTACCTAGGTATTTTGTTGGTTTTTACGAATTTTATTTAGCATTTAGGATCATCTTTTGGACTCACGTTGCCTTTGTTCAAATTTTGGAAGCGAGCGTTCTATGTTCCGGTTTACTTGAGACAATCGGCGAATGATATCACCGGCGAGCATAGTTGTATAGTGTTGAAACAAATGGTGCATGGAGAGAATGAAGGTATGGTAAAAATGAAGGTAGAAAGCTTGTTTGAATCTTAACCATGGAAAGTCAAGATTGAACTGTGTAAAAGCAAGTGGAATTTTGTCATGTAAATTCATCGTTTAGGATCATGGTTGTCTTCGTATTGGAGAGAGTTTCGCTCAAGATTCATAGAAATGTTATCGTTCGATTTCCGCAAATTTCCAGCACAAGTTTGTTTTAATATGCTACAACGCTTTGTAACTAAGTTTTTAGATGGCGTTTTCGTTGTTACATCTACCGAATGATGCACTTCCGCCTGTTGAAAGAAAAAGTAAGCAGGTAGCAGCTTCTTTTTTTAAACAAAATTTAGTTCTGAATCGAGCCGAACTTTCTTATCTCATTTCCGACGCTTCGTTGGCTCGATTGACGGCGTATTCTCGTTCGATGATTGACAATACTTTGATAACCGACCTCCTTCCGGTACTTGCTCGAATCTATTTTCTCGATAGATTACCACTTGAGGTAAGCTAATGGGTTTAGTTACGGCATTGAATTCTAAAATGTGTATATTTAGTCAAAGTTATCTGCAGTTCAAGCGGCGATCTTGGTGGGAATGGGTTTACAAAGAAAAGAAGGAAAAGTCATGGCTAAGGAGCTAGACATGCCGCTTAATCAGGTTTATACATGGTTTTCGATATACGCAAGTTTAACTTTTTTTAGATTATGGCTGTTTACAACAAGACGATACACAAACTTTCACAATCTCTGGACTCAATTTGTGAGGGTGCTATAAAGAAGGCAATGGATTTTAAGGAACAAGAACAAGTAGTTGTAGATTGTGTATTATTCTATTTAATTTTTTAGAATGAAGAAGTTGATGCGGCAACAAATATGATGAAACCACTTGCTCAAACTTTAGAGGTTTGGTAGATTTTTAAGAACTTTACAAGCATTTTTTAGGAAGACTTAAAATTAGCCGCTGAAGACTTTAAGAAACGCCAAGACCGGGATCGACAAGAAGTGCTCGAAGAGTTCGGGGGAGATCTTAGCAAGTGAGTCGTTCCAATGTAGTGACTCCAATGTAGAATTCTGTTCTAGGTATTCAATTGGTGGCAGTGATGCAGATTGGAAGAAAGCGCTGGCTACGAGTAAATTTGGTAAAGGCGGAACGGTTTCACTCAAGAGCAAACGGTAGTTTTTGGTTCTTAGGATGAAGATGAAAGAGTGTTTTAGAAAAGTCGATACGATGGAGGTGCCCGACGAGAAAGATCCATTGAAGAAGAAAAAGCAAAAGAAGTTGAGTAATTTTAAGTTGGCTAGTTGAAATGTTGGTTTGTTGTTTAGAGATTGTTATATTTTGGAAGAACTTTGTTACTAGTTGTTGTTCTTGTTACATTGTTACTGTTATGTTTTTTAATCGCTGCTTGAATAAATTTTCAGAACTCTTGGAAAAGCAGGTCTTAAAGAATACAGTTTTTAACAAATCCACATATTTTCTTTGTTAAAATCCTGCAGTAAGTCTAATCTAGCACGTCTAGACAGAACTTGCTCATACTACACGGTAACCCTATTTGCGCCTTACAGAGTAGCCTCTTGTAGGGAGATAAAAATTTAACGATTTCAATGGTTTCAGTGGTTTAACCGGATAAAGCCTAGATTAAGAGGTGTTGGCGTTTTTCTGACTAGAAATTCTTTTGGCTTTTGAATGAAAGGTTTCAAGACCAAGGAGCCGTATTTCGCAACGTGTTTGAATATGCAAAAGCGTTTTGAAATCCAAAATTTCTTTTCCTCGTTTCTTGACTTTGACCACTGCTTTTGCTATCCTTTTTTCAATTTTCTAACTATTTAGCACTGTAGTTTAAATTTTGAAATGAGAAAAGGTGATTCACTTTTAAAATCTTAAGAATTCCCGGGTTTGGCAAGTTTGAAAAACTCATCCAATCTAGAGAATTTTTATACTTTTCAAAGTCCCAATTTTGGAATTTCAAAGTTTTACGGTAGTAGTAAACCAAAGTTTGTAATTTGTGTAATTCAGAAATCGTTGAGAGGATGGTAAAAGCAAAAGACGACTCGCCTGAAGAGCCTGGAGTCGCCACTGAGAATATCGTTAATGGATGTGAATTAGGTAAGGGAAGACTTTAAAGCTGAAATTAAGATTAAACATTTTGAGCAATGCTTTATTATTTGGCAAACTTTAGACCCCGAATCGACTCGAAAGGAAATGCGGAATGAAGCAAGTCCAAGATCACCATCGCCAACTGGATCCGATTTGTGGAGAAGCTCTGTTGGTTTTTAATTCACAACTGTAAATAATCCTTTAGTAACTATGCAAAGCATTTCCTTACCAGCTTCGATTTTAAAATGAAACTTTCCATTTTTAGAACAGTCTCCTCTCGCAAGCCGATGAGATGCTGAAGAGTGATTTTTCGCCTTTGGAAGTGAGTTCATCGTTTATTTTGATTACTGTTTGATACACCAACTTGAAAATGTAGCTGCTGAAGTAAAGCTTATGCATTTTAGGTTCTGAGGACATTGTTCCCGAATCTTCCCACTCCACCCGACTCGTACTCTGATGGAACGATTCTCTCCATTCTTTCCGAGCTTCTCGATCAGCCACCAAAAAGGTTATTTACGTGATTAATCAAGCCTGTTAGGCATGACTCTATCAAATTATTTGGATTGTACATAGTTTATTTTTAGAAAGAAATTACCTCAATACAACACGTTTGCTGATGCGGTCGAGCTCTTTCGAAACTCGAAGCGAATCTTGATCCTCACGGGGGCCGGTGTTTCGGTTAGCTGCGGAATTCCCGATTTCCGCTCAAAGGATGGAATCTACGCTCGATTGCATGAGGTTTTGCTGTTTAACTTTGTTTTAATTAGCAGTCGTTTAGGAGTTTCCTGATTTACCGGATCCCACTGCTATGTTCGATATTTCATATTTTCGCCGAAATCCTGCGCCATTTTACGATTTTGCAAAGGCATGCATTGAGTTTATGTGCATTTCATGAAAATTTACAGGAGATTTTCCCGGGCCAATTTGAACCGTCGATATCGCACAAATTCATCAAATGCTTGGAGGATTCAGGACAACTCTTGCGCAACTACACACAAAATATCGACACATTGGAGCATCAAACAGGCATCACCCGAGTAATCGAGTGTCATGGTTGGTTTTAAATAGGCGATTAGAATTCTATGTAAAAAAATATTTTTTTCATTTGCTAGTTTTAGGATCCTTTTCCAAAGCGACTTGTCTTTTGTGCGGAGCAAAGTTTGATGGAGACGTGATTCGCGAGGATGTGAAAAACAATGTGAGTAGTTTTTTTTATGTTTTACCGATATGTCTCTAAACTGTAATCGTATTTTTTAGCGAGTTGCCCATTGTTCTCGATGCGTTCAAGGAGTGATCAAACCGGATATTGTCTTCTTTGGCGAAGACTTGGGCGAGGAATTCCATCGTCAAATGGCAATCGATAAGCACAACGTGGATTTAGTTGTCGTAATTGGTTAGTGCTTTTCAATTATTGTTCTCACCTTAAGATTTTTAAGGTTCTTCGCTGAAAGTTCGGCCCGTTTCATTGATTCCATTCTCGGTTGGAGACAATGTTCCGCAGATTTTGATCAATCGGTTGGTTTCAAAATTAGAACTTTAATGTGTATTTTCTTTATCGAAGTACTAACGTAATTTTAGTGAACCACTTCCTGCTTACACGACCGATATTGAGCTTATTGGAAACTGTGACGATATCATTACTCAAATCTGCATGGAACTCGGAGGATCGTTTACGGAATTACTTCACGCACACGGTTAGTATTCAAGTCATTAATTTTACAGTCAATTTTGTGGATCAAGAGTTTTAGAAGCACGATTAAAGGAGAAAAACAAAGATTCCGGAGTGATTGTAAAAGAACGAGTCAAACGAAGCGAAATTGCAATGGATGGCTTCAATGAGGTGAGAGTTTGGACATTTCTAGGAGCAATAAATTATTCAGATTATGGAACGATTGAAAGAAGAACAAGCAAACAACGTTGAGTCAAGTTAGTAACTTTACGAGTTTCGCTCATTTTTGCGTTTAGATGATCACGGTGAACCATCAAGCCCAAAACGAGCTCGATTGGAGGACAATTCGGAGCGATTCGTTTCGATTGAGTCACACATTCCAAAAGACTCTTATTTTGTGGTAAATTTATTTTTCTTTATTCTAAAATCAACATGTTTAGGTTGGAGTAAATCGTTGCGTTTTTCCCGGTGCCGAGTTACACTTTGATCTCGAGGATAAGAAGTGTGTTGTTGTGAGCAACCGCTACATGAAGTCAAGTTATAACAGTGAGTTCTTTCGAATTGATTTCTATTTCAGTAAAATTTTTAGGCTCCAATGATGATAGTGACGATGACGAGGATGAAAGGGAGCTTCGGGGCGGAAGCGAACCGGCGCCTGAGATTGAGGTAATTGATAGTTGTTACAGGGGAAATTTTTAAAGTCATTACTCGAAAATTTCCAAGAGTATTACTCGTATTCTAGACATGGTGTGTTTCCAAAAGAGCAACTTCCATAAATTCATCTTTTTAGAGAAAGGAGTCAAACAAACGCGGTGATTCGTGCGAGCCCAGGGTGAACCTCGAGCGACGCGTTTCGGTGGAAACAATGAGGCAAAAAATCGAGGATGGTGAGGCATTTACGAGTGATTCCGAGAGTGAAAACATCGATCTCTTAGAAATGTTCTAATTTTGTGATTTCTATTCAATTTTATACATAATATTCTGACCCTTCAGTAATATCTTTTGTAACCTATTTCTTTATATTTTGACTCCCAAATTTCTCAAACAGTTACATTCAATCCAGGGAAATTTCTATTAATAGCATTTCTGTTTTCATAATTTTCATGTGAAATTCGATTACCTTCTACATATTGTCCAAACCCTCTCGTTGGTCTCATCTGTGTTGTTGTCATTTTTGGCATTTTATACGTCTAGGGCAGAAATTTCATTATGTGATATTCGAGTACGCAAAAATATTTGTCGTTACTACTATTAATAAATTGCTTTGTTTGGGATTGGATTGACAAATAGCGAGTAACAACAGGGCTCAAATTGCCATGTTTACTGAAGGGAGGCATTGTTTTTTGTCTACCTAGATAAGTAATAGTAAAAACATCGAACAAATGATAATTTCTTGAAAAAAGATTCATTGATCTTGCATGATTGCAGTACTCCAGATCTTACAGGGCTACAGTACTCTAGATATCCCTTGGAGTAAATTGTCGAGCTAGCTTGTCGCTTGGCTAATGTAAGCCTGTACAAACAAGTGCCAACAGTACGATTGTTTTCACCAAGGATTACGGTAGTATTCTACGGAGCACCTTTTAGAAAACGGCTAATCAAAAGGAACAGTCTGCTTTGGAGATTTGGATGAATTTTTATGGCTAAAGCAATGAATACAATGAAATCGTTGTGTGTTTGTGGGTTTGTTCAGGCCGAGTTGTGGGTCTGACGCCCGTTTCCGTTATTAAGTATTCGGGAGGGAATGGGCGATGCGGTCGGGCAGAAAATGCGCGACTGGTGCATCCATTCGGGGCCTCCTTTTGCCTACTCTCTCTCTCTCTCTCTCGTGTACGCCTCAAAGACTTTTCGAGTCGTATTCTTTTTCAATAACAGTGTACCAAGCTCAAGTTGAGCTAGGGGTTATAATTTGAGCTAATTTATTCAACTTTTTCATTTTCTTCAGAGATCCTAGTGCACTGCTGGGTTTTGCGTTTTTTTTATGGCTTGTTGATGCTGGTTATGATAGTTACCTATTATTTTGAGATACCGTTATGTCTGTATGATTGCTGTTGTGCTGCTATTATTGTAGCTATGGCAAAAATTGTGCTCCTTGCTGTTTCGCGACACCGTAGAGTTTGGCTAGGCCTAAATTTTGAGTGTTTTTCATATTAAAAACTTAAACCATAAACTAGTGCCAAATATTTTGGGTTTTGTACAAAATTCATCCTAAAGCTCTAATTGTGATACTTTCTCATCTGTGAGTCATCATCAACTGCTAACAATCGATAAACCGGATTCAATTATTGCAGTATCAGAACAAGGATCCGGCCTTTTGTTTGCTTTACTAGCTGCTATTCAGATCCACGATACTTACAGAGTGATTCAAAATTTCCCGTACAACTTTTTACTAAAATTTGATTTGAAAATGATTGGGGAAATACGGTTCCAATACGGTTCCATTACGGTTCCAATCCGATTTCAATACGGTTCCAATACGTTTCCTATTTTTATCTAATAGGTTCCAATACGGTTCCATTACGGTTCCTATTTTGATCTAATCCGGTTCCAATACGGTTCCATTACGGTTCCTATTTTGATCTAATACGGTTCCAATCAGAATCAACGAAATTTTTTTTAGCATAAAGATGAAAAATGAAAAGTTTATAAATTTTTGTTTCTAAATTAGTCTAAACTTCACTAATGACTAAAAAATTTAAAAGAAAAACGATTTTAGCAGCGTGCTGTTGATGGCTTGTGCGTGACTCAAAGGGGCAACCATATAAAAAACCTGTGATGAGCTATGGGCTCCTTATTAGTGCTTTTAAGTATAATTTTATACTTTATAAGGTTTTCATTTAAAAAATTTTATTTGAATACCTTTCCCAAATCATTTTCAAATCAAATTTTAGTAAAAAGTTGTACGGGAAATTTTGGATCACTCTGTAGTATCGTGGATCTGAATAGCAGCTAGTAAAGAAAACAACAGGGCGGATTTTATTTTAGCTAAAAATTATGAAACTTTTGAATCACCCCGTCTAGTAATTACTAGTCTAAAATACTAGTAAATTTATCTAGATCTATGAATTCGATAGAGTATGTGTTTGTAGAATTTCCCTTTTTTCCCTTGCCCTTTTCCTTTTCCTTTCCATTCAAATGGAGATTTCTTCTCGAGATAGTCGTTTGTGTTTGGGGTGTTTTGTCGCTGGTCCAAAGGCGGCTTTGATGATGCATTAATATTGCATGGCGAAATCGCAATTTTCCTCCCTGGGGACACGTTCGGATTGGGAGAGATTGAGGGGGAAAGAGGAAAAACTGATGGATCCTTAAGAGCTATGAAAAAAAGAGGAGATTCATGGAGTCATCTAAAGTCTCTTTTAGTCATACTCTTGCTGTTTTTGAATGTAATCTTGAGTCAGTAAAAGCTTGTTTTAAGCTATAATCTTAGAACCGCTGTAATCTTTTCTCTCTTCCAGCATTTTCGTCCAGCGTTCCAGCATTCCAGCATTGAAAAGAATTTTTCGAGAATTTAGCAAAAATCTTTGATCGCAGACGGGCTCGAACCTGGGTTTTCTCAGCTAAAGAAAGCTTTGGTACTTGACCAAGAAACAAATTGAATGTCAGCTTGCTTGTCAGCTTGCTGTCAGCAAGAAACAGATTCCCCCAAAAGTTTTAAACAAACATCAACTCTCCTCTATCTCAATTAAACATCAACTTTAAGATAAAATTTAGACTTCAAGCATGAAACAAGTGCTTCAAGTTTTCTTAGATTTCTTAGATTAGAAGAAACTAGAGAATTTAGCAAAAATCTTTGATCGCAGACAGGCTCGAACCTGGGTTTTCTGTGCTAAAGAAAGCTTTGGTACTTGACCAAGAAATAGATTGAATGTCAGCTTGCCTGCGCGCTTTTTTTTCCCCAAAAGTTTTAAACAAACATCAATTGTGCTCTATCTCAATTAAACATCAACTTTTAAGATAAAATTTAGACTTCAAGTGCTTCAAGTTTTCTTAGATTTTTCTTCAATGTGAAATACTTCAATGTGAAATTTTTAATTCCATTTACCAAGCTCAAGAGTTAGCGGTTGAAAAACGCAACATGTCCATTTGAAAAAGTAACAAAAAAACGGGAGGGAAAAGGGGAAAGAAAAAGATCGATGTGGAGGGAATTCACTGGGTATTTTGAGTAGAGTAGGAGAAGAAAGAGAAAGGGAAATTAAAGAAAGAGAAGCCCTGGGGGTCCCAGTGACAAAAAAGAGCGAAAAAGGAGTGGAAAGGGAGTAAAAAAAGCCGGCCGGGGCGGGAGAGGGCCCACCGAGGGCTACCCATTCCTTCTTCCATCCTTACCTACCCCCTTTCCACTCACCGGCTAGAAAAAAGCGCAATTTACCCTCATCCTTCTTTCAGTCATCATGAAGTGGGTCTCTTTCTCTTTTTTTTTTGATTAACACTGAAATTTTGCTACTCTTTCAGTCTTTTCAATCTTTTTATCGCTTTCAATCAATCGCTTTTGTATAAAAGATAATTTTGCTTTTCAAACCATACTTTGATTAAGGGTTTATTTTCTACAGATTCCTTTGCATTATTTAGCTAAAGTTTCTGGCTTCAATGGTTCAATTTAAGGCTTCGATTTAACCATTGACACCTTAAGGGCTCGGTTTAGTTACGACAGTAGCGCTCGAAATGATTTAAACGATGGTAGACGATATTTTTCTTTCTCTTTATGAGATATCGACTTAAACTCAAAAGCAAAGTTGTACCTTGATTTGTTTTTAATTTTATGAGCCTAAAAGCTCTAATCTAGTTTGAGTTTTTAACAGAAAATTTTTCATTTTTCTGAGTTTAACCGAAGATCAAATTTTTTAACTTTTTAAGTAGGCATTTTGGAGGAAATCTAATCACAAACTTTGGACTCTTCATGTATTTTTTTAGTCTAAAATAAGTATTTGAAAAGATTTTAGCTTGGCGCACGCACATACACTACTGGACAATGAAATATGATATTTGAAAAAAGATCGTCACTTTCGCGCGTCTGTAACTCCATTGTCTTTACTGTATTTCTAAATATTAATATTACCATTGTGTAGCCCTTGAAAAGAGCTTTCAGAAAATGTATAACACTAATAGTTTAAACTCAAAGACAACGGAGTTACAGACGCACGAAAGTGACGATCGTTTTTCAAATATGCTTTTTCTCATTGTCCAGTACTGTAGATTGCCAACGGCAAAAGCGAAAAAGCGGCAAAGTTAACAAACAACCAGCTATATCAAAAGCTGTTTAACCAATTTAGACAAGATGAACTCGCCAATTCATAGAAAAACGATGAATCAAATGCTCCAGAAAGGCTGTGTTTACGCACGTATTGGGCCATACCACTTGGTGATAGAGTTTAATCGGCGTTCCTCAAAATTTGAAATTCGTTCCTCAAAAAGGCTCAAAAAAAGGTCAAAAATGAGCTTTTAATTCATTTTCAATAGTAAAACCTTGTTTTTCTCATTCTTCCCATTAGAATTTCATCTCTGTGTCCATTCATTTTCACTCATTTTCTTCTTCTTCTTCTTCTTCTTCTTCTTCTTCTTCTTCTTCTTCTTCTTCTTCTTCTTCTTCTTCTTCTTCTTCTTCTTCTTCTTCTTCTTCTTCTTCTTCTTCTTCTTCTTCTTCTTCTTCTTCTTCTTCTTCTTTCTTCTTCCTCTCTCCTCCTCCTTCCTCCTTTTTCTCTCTCCCTCCCTCTTTTCCTCTTCTCTCCTCCTCCTTCTCCTCTTCTTCTCTTCTCCTCCTCCTCTCCTCTCCTCCTCCTTCCTCCCCCTCCCCTCTCTTCCCCTCCTTCTTTTCTTTTCTTCTCCCCCTCCCTCTCTTCTTTTCTTCTTCTTCTTCTTCTTCTTCTTCTTCTTCTTCTTCTTCTTCTTCTTCTTCTTCTTCTTCTTCTTCTCTTCTTCTTCTACCTAATCCTTTACTTTCTTTCTTTC